TCAGAAAACCAAATATTAATTCTCAACCCAAAAACGGGTTAGTTCATCAAATGGTAGATGAGCTAGCTAGTAACTACATATGTCGGTCCACGTCTAGTAAAAATCGATTTCTAGTTTCAAGCATCATCGTATCATTGGAGGAAATGGAAACAGAAGCAGAGAAGAGGAACCGTGAAAACCGCAACATTGGTCCGGTGTGAATATTCCCCACCACCGTACCGAACCGTAAGCTAGTATCATCATAATCATAGCTACGTATAGTGTGGTACCATCGCCGCTACTAGTACGTTTGATTTATTTGATTGCCCCGACTCGTTGAAGCTCTATCTCTCACTTTGTCTTCTCCGTTTCTCGTCCCGATCAAACTCGACTTCAGAGACCTACCTGCAGGTTGTTTAATAATGTTGCTCTTTTGCGTCAAAACTCCATTTCTCTCTCTCTCTCGCTTGTTCTTTTCTTTTCTTTTCAAGTTTTTGAATGTCCTGTAATTTTTTCAATGGATGCGTGTTTTTTGATTATGCATTCTTGTATGATTATGCTTTCTTCGCTTATCTTATACCTTTCTACTTTGAAACTTCTTTTACAGGAAAAAGATGGAGAAATCATGTACGTTGCTGATTTACTATGACAAAGGAACTCCTGCAATTGCGAATGAGATCATGTACGCAGCTCTTCGAGGGAATGATATACCAGCGAAAATCGATGCCTTGAAGAAGGCAGTCATGCTTTTGCTTAATGGTGAAACTTTGCCTCAGCTTTACATCACTCTTCTTAGATACTTTTTGACGTCTGAGGACCACACAGTCCAGAAGCTACTGCTGCTTTACCTGGAGACAATCGAGAAAACTGATGATGCTAAAGGAAGAATACTACCTGAAATGATACTGATATGCCAGAATCTGACGAACAACCTTCGAGTACATCCGTGGAGTTACCTTAGCCGATTGAGAGTGACTCAAGTTATGGAGCCTCTGATTCCGTTAGTGTTACAAAATCTGGAGCATTTTTGTACGTAGGAACGCGATTTTGGCTATTATGTCGATATTTAAGCACCAACAAGGTGACCAGCTCTTCTTGGTAGATGCTCCTGAAACGATTGAGAAGAGCGAACAGGATCCCTCTGCCAAACGAAACGCATTTCTTATGCTCTTCAATTGCGGTCAAGACCGAGAGCAGTTAACTATCTTCTTGATAGAGTTTCTGAGTGGAATGAATTGCTTCAGATGATGATGGTTCTGGAATTAATCAGGAAAGTGTATCGGACCAAGGCGTCAGAAAAGGAGAAGTATCTTAAGATCATTATCTCTTTGTTTAGGTATGATAGTGCTCGAAACTTGTTTCTCTGTCGTCTTCTCCCACCGCCATCAGAGTAGCTGCTGAAAGTTGAGCTCAAAGGCTCTTGAAGAAGGTAAAGGTGAAAGTTTTGATCTCTTATTTCACTTGAACATCAATTGATTACATAGTGTCCATATTTATACAGCTGATTATACCTAGGTACCTTGACACTTGTCACTCAGCTGTTCACTCTTACAGTCTTCGGAATAGTCCCAAATTGTACAGCCTTGACAGCTATCTCCTCTGCAGGTAATCGTCCTTTCTCCTTTGAAAACGTAAACATAACCGTTGCAGGGGATAGCTTGTTTTGGAGTTTTGTGACTTGAGTTCCGTTTGGGCTTGGTAATGGGCCTGTTGCTGATTCATTAACCCCATCAAAGTTCTGCGTTTTGTTTGAAGAAGCCGTCTTGATGAGAGACTCTGATTGCACGAGAGTGTTTTCTACACGAGTTTCCTTGGTCTGTTTACCTGCAATCAGAGTTCGTTGTTGTTGTTGTCTAATAGCTGCAAGCAC